CACTTTTGCTGCATTGTGTTCTCTCCATTTCTGTTTAACATCTATATGAAGCTACTGGGTGAGATTATTGATCATCACGGGGTAAGGTATCATCAATAATAATAACCAGCTATACACTTCTGTCCCTGTTAAGCTAAATGATGTTGTTGATATCCTTTCTTGGTGCCTGGAGACCGGGGGGGGGGGGGGAGTGTCTGGATGGGGAACAATGACTTCAGCTTATTCCTGGCAAGACTGAGTAGCTTTGGTTTTGGGGAACCTTCCATATCTCAGGATTTACCATATTTGGCTTTAGATAGGTTGCAATTGTTCCAGACCAACCCAATGTGCAATCTGGGAATTGTTCTGAATTCATGACTCTTGTTTGAAGTGCAAGTGGCAGTCATGGCCAGGAGGACTTTTGCACAGCTTCATGCTGCCTGTCAGTTTCAACCCTTCCTGTCAAGTCACATGCCCTAATCACTTCTCAGATGGAATACTGTAATACATTCTACACAGGGCTGCTGTTGAAGAGTATCCAGTAGCTGAAGTTGTTAAGCAAAATGCAGTGATGCAGGTAATTATGTGTGTTACACTTCTTCTCCATGAGCCGCATTGGTGACCAGATTGCTTCTGGGTCCAGTTCAAGATGCTGTGATCTTTAAAGCCTTACATGACATGGGGGCAGGTTATCTGAGATGTCACTTCACTCAATTACATCTATCTGCCCAATCAGAATGGGCATGTTGTGGGTCATCAGCCAAATAGTATCATTTAATGGGAGCAAGGAGCACAACATGTTCTGTTGCAGCAGCTAAGCATCTCAAACATAACCCCCCACCCTCAAGTTGATGTTGACTCCATCCTTATTGACTTTCTGGAAGGCCCTCAAAACTTGGTTTTGTCATCAGGGCTGAGGATCCCATGGAAGCATATGGGCCATTAAATAGTTAAGTTTGACTGCATTCTTCTCTGTCTTTTGTTAATATAATTTTAATTGACTAAATGGATAAACAATATTGTTTAGTTCTGCTTTAATTGTGTATGCTGCTCAGAGTCACATGCCTATCAGATGGCCACTATATAAATTAAATAATAAACCTTCTACCCAAACCAGTGTAAGAAATTTAAGAAAAAGAAGAGATAAAACTATAAGAAAGACTGCAGAATTCAAAAGATACAATTAACACCATGCAAGTGGATTATATTTAACAATCAGTGGTATGTGCCAAGGCACATCTTTTGATCTATTCTGTACACTTTAGAGAAAACCCTTTTAACTATAATTTTTCATATTTTTATCTGGGCTTTCAATAACCAGGAAGGAACAAGCAGTTATTATAGTGGTGTTTTTGTTTTTAATGCATTTAAATATTAGATTAAGATATAGCAATAGTACTTATATACCACTCCATAGTGCTTTATAGCACTCTCTGAACAGTTTACATTGCCAGCACATTCCCTCCAATAATCTGGGTCCTCATTTTACCAACTTTGGAAGGATGGAAGTCTGAGTCAACCTGAAGTTGGTCAGGATCGAATTTCTGGCAGTGGGCAAAGTTAGCCTGCAGTACTGGACTTTAAGCACTGCACTACCACAACTCGTTATGTAGCAAGGAAGTTTGCAAATATTGTAATTTTATATTATATAATTTGAATTTAAATATATTAGAGATTCGCAACTGATAACTCTAGAGTTCTACATTGGTTTTGCATGAAAATAAATGTTTCCTCTTTTTAATAATGAAAATTAAATCCAGATATGCATATCTAGTGCTATCCATTATTATTGCTTACATATCAATATAGCAATAGCACTTAGATTTATATACCACTTTACAGTGTTTCACAGTCCTCTCTAAGTGTTTTATAGAGTCAGCATATTGCTCCCAAAAATCTGGATCATCATTTTACCTACTTCAGAAGGATGGAAGCCTGAGTCAACCTAGATATGCTAGTTTACTTGTTTATAAATTGCACCCATAAACTCAGCAGTGAAATAGCTGAACTATTTTATCATAATTAAAGCCCTGTATTTTCAGAGTGACCTAAAATAATAATCTTGGAATGAACTCAAAGAGTATGAAGGCTAATAACAACTAAAGAACTGGCAGCTGTGACTTCATATTATTGCATATATAATATTTCAGGTTCTTGGGAAGGATTCAATAGGTAGACAAAAATGCCGAATCCATCTGACTGATTGTGTGACGAAACAATAACTCCATATAAACTGACCAATTTTTATATATTGCTAGTAGTCATGATGCCATGCATGACAACTATAATATCTGCATATGAAATGTAAATAATGCTACAAAAATCATTTTTCAATATATTGATTTCTGGAATTACAATGCAACTTTCAGTCATATCCTGTTTGCACAATGACCTTCTCCCAATATACTGCAGTGAAGTGCAGTGAGGTTTATGGCTCGTGAGGCACTGACACAATGGTGGGTTTCAAATTTTTTTAGACTTGTGGACTTCAACTCCCAGAATTCCACAGCCAGGCATGCTCAGTTCCGATTTAAATCAACAGCATTTGTTTTTCTCCTTTCCTTCATTCTTTTTCTTCTCCCTCCCCCTCCTTCCTCCCTCTCTCCCTCCCTCCCCTCTCTCTCAAACAGACACACACACAGAGAAAAGTCTCCACCATTGCAAATGCACCCTGCTGTCTGGGTGGGAAATGCCTGAAATGCAATAAAGCCCACCCACCCACTCACCTCCTGCTTGTAGGCTGGGGTGAGAGAAGAGGCAGAGAAGCCGGAGGGGAGGGAGTCGATCTGAGCCTTTGATTGCAGGCGGAGCCACGTCGCCTTTTCAACCTTGTAATCAGTGAAGCTGGGCTTAAATAGTTTTATCCAGCTGTGTGTGTGTGTGTGTGTGTGTGTGTGTGTGTGTGTTTGAAAAGGCAACATGGCTCTGCCTGCAATCAAACTACACTTGGGGAAGGATCTACACTTGAGGATGAAGTTTGAATTCCTCCCCCTCCCTCTGACCCACATGTACCTTTTCTAGCTGTTTCAGAGAGGATTTCAACTCTGCTCTTGCCTACCATGTAAAATGTAAAAGGAAAAAGGCAAGAGCTGAGGTCAGGCTGGGCTAGTTGCTGCCAGAGTCACCGTGGATGACGCTGCTTAACTGTTTAAAAAAGCCTCTAAAAAGCGCCCTCTATAGGAGGAGGCAGGAGAACGACGTGCCTCACCTACGTCAGGAATTTTTAGGCTTTTAACCCTTGATTAACTCTGCTCGAGTGATCATAAAACGCCTAAAGTCAGACTTGATGAGGCACATTGTTCTCCTGCCTCCTCCTGTAGAGGGTGCTTTTTTAGAGGCTTTTTTAAACAGTTAAGCACTAAGCAGAGTCATCCACAGTGACTCTGACAGCAACTAGCTCAGCCTGACATCAGCTCTTGCCTTTTTTCCTTTTACCTTTTTTTTGCTTTTCATGATGACAGTGGTGAGGCTCTGCCTCCCCTGACTGCACATCCCTGATATACTGTAAATGAGTGTGGGTGTGGGGGGGAATGATGCTCATAGAAACACTAGCCAAATTCCAGGAGAGCTCAGCTAGAATGGACACACAGAGTTTTCCATTTACAACAGTTTTAGAGGAGTATCTGGGAATGTTACAGACGAATACATAACAATTTCTCTCCTCAACTTACATTGACTGGAAAAGCATCTGGAGATACAGGTATGTTAAATATTTATATGTTTCTTAATCAGATTTTATTGTTGCCACAAACATACAGGCCCTCGGTGGTTTACAGAAGTTAAGAGCAATACAAACCAAACCATCAATGATAAAACTAAACCTGAATAGATAAAACCATAGAACCATAAAGTCAAACCACCTTCAGCACCCTATCATTCTCTATAGGACCATCAGGTTAACTCTGTTATTAAAAAATAAAAATAAGACAATTTAAAAATAAAGTTATGAGTTACTGCTGCAAGATTCTTCTATTCCAACGAAATCTTACATATTGTAAATTTATTCAGAAATAAGCCTACTGAGATTGGTGGAATTTAATTTCAAGTAGGTATGAACAAAATGGGAGCTCAATTCCCAATATGCAAAATATCTTTTGATTTTGACAAATGAGTGCAATGCATTTTCATAGTTATACTGTAGTTTTACTTTCTACTTTGGGAACTTAGATATAATTCCACCCAGCTTTTTGTTGATATCTTATTCAGAGGAGAGCTAGAAGGGTGCCGCAATTAGTACAAGGGTGGGTAGATATGAGCAGAAGAAAGGGTCAGAAACATGAAGATAACAGCTGCAACTTCCTAACAGAAGTTCTGCCCTTTTTTCTATGGGTCACATTTGTTCTGCATAGAAAAGAGAATGGGGCTTTGATTGTGCAGTTATGGCTGCCATATTGCCTGTTCTTTACTTTTCCTACAGATGTCCCTAGGGATGGAGATGATGTGGGTCATATAAACTTTCAGCTGTGTCGTCCCAGTATCCTGAGTAGCATTCCAGCACAGCCACATTTCAGTGAAGGTTTTGATGAAAGTTCATGCAACTAAAAGTATTAATATATATGAACTACCAGTCCACAAACTGAGTTACTTGTCGTAAAGGGTTTTTTTGTTATTATGGTCATAATTGTTTATAAATACTTATATTCTATAAATATTAATTTCTTTAAAGGACTGTTTATGTATGTATGAGCCCTGACTAATTCTCAGTAATTTATACTATGAAAATTTGCTAGCAAAATGCCTTATTATGTTGTATTAAGAAAATGTTGCTGTAATTTATGCCATAGATACAAGGATATGATAATTTTATAATAATGAATACTATTTAAAACAAAAAAAGACCAAGTTAAAAGTTCAGGTTTGGGCAAAATGAAGTAAAACATCATTTTTGATTTTAAAAAAATACTAAATTCTGATTTAAAAATCAACATTTACATACCCACCCAGTTAAAAATCTAAAAAATACACTCAAGTAGAAATCAAATTTCACTGAACGGAGTAACAGAATATACAGTATTTCTTACCTGCTTTTTTAACTACAGAGAGTACTGTCCTCTCAGGAGTTTTCCTTTTTTCTTCTTTTTTCCCTAAAAATTAATTTAAAAAAGATGCTGGGAAAGTAAATCACATACTTCAGCAAGTTTATGAAAAATGTATGCTATCATTTTAAATGATTGAATATTGAATTCAGTCTAAACTTGAACATATTTGGAGGAGATATACCTATCTATATCCTATATGTATCTATATCATATGTTTACATCAATTTTATCATTAGTTACCCCCACTCTGTGTGTGTGTGTGTGTGTGTGTGTGTGTATGTGTTTGTGTGTGTATAAAATAGTATACTATGTATAGTATACATAGATTTATGTAGCACTGCATTCATAGGTTACTTATTTATAATCGTAATGACATTGATATTATGTGCCAATGATAAATTTATATTTATAATTCCCTACATTTAGTTATTTTTATATTAGCACAGTGAGAGGGCTTTAATTCTAGTTTTGACAGTATTTTTTTCTGATTAACGATGAAAGTAAATAATGTTATGTACCTGGGAGATGCTCACTGACATCAGTGGGGTTCAATAATCTGTACAGATTACAACACATCTAATAGAGGATGTAATGTGTAATGAGATTATATTTATATATAATCTCTTATATTTATATATAATCCCTTATATTTAAACTATTATGTTAAATGATAACATTTAAAAAAAATCACAGTCCAAAAGCTTACTTTTTGCTTGAATATCGGAAACATCTTTCTTCCCATGGATTACCATTTTTTCCTCTTCCACTTCTAAAATATGAAAAAAACATGGCTTTGGATCATAGGATCAGAAGTAGCTAATAAACTGAAAAAGAGGCTCAACTCATTCTGTCCATTCAACATTAAAACAAACAGCTGTAATTTAGAGTTCTGTGTCAGCAGGCATTTAGTTTACATCTCATGATGAGCGTATGCATTCTTTTGTTTAAACTATTATCTCCTACAAAATAATTTCCCGACACCTACATGGGAAGTTCACAACAGATATTTTTTCTTTGTGCCCTAGGAGAGAAATATCTGCTGCTGCTACCTAGGACTGAACTCTCAACCTTGTGAATGGGAAGTGAGGATCTTCACCACTAGGCACCATGCCTCTCTGCACTTAGGTTTCTTTCAGGGGCATAGGATCCCAGAGAGATCATGTGTTTGACCCTCATCCTCGGGCTCAGTCTGATCCTCTCTTTCCAATTGCTACAAATATGTTCATGGAATTCAGTCAAAAAAGGTCAAGGCAATCCTTTTGGACCTAAACCATTCTGAAGAGACGGTAATAGAGAAGAGTATGTCCTGCTGATCTCAAGGACACTGCAAAGTGTCTGATTGATCCAGGAGAAGCTCTTTTTCCTGATGATAGAAACGCAGCCCTGAAGCTGCTGAAGTTGGGACAGCTCCGGAACGGAAAGAAAATGGAAGAGAATAGTGTGTCAGATTGGTGAGAAAATTTTATTATTAGAAAAGAGACTACCCAAAGAAAATTAAAACTAAATCAAAATTGAAGACAAAAGAAAACAAGCGGCAAAATTAAGCTACATTAAACTTAGTGTGTTATCCTTTTTTTAAAAAAAAATCTCTTTTTACGAATGGAAGTTCTGCAAATGTTTCCTATTTTTTAAATTGAAAGGCTCAGTTTTTCTTCTACTTTTTTTTACTTTTTCTATATATACTTGTGGATTAAAAAAATCTTTCTATTCTACAATGTTTGATTGGATTGTTTTTTTTAATTAAGAATTTTTCTCCGTAAGTCTGCTATTTAAAAAGGGCTGTAATAGCAGAGAGAGAAAAGTAACACTGCCACTTTAAGGCTGGAGGCCTTTCATTGTATCTTCTTTCTGCTCTTTGATCATCAGACTTCCTTTCAGTTTGTTTATTGAGAGTGATAGTGGAAAGAGCATGGTTTGTTTATATAGCTGCTGTTTTGGAGTTTTTGCAGTGAAGGTAAAGTTTTGACTTGAAAGATTATAATGCACTTGTTTGGAATACAATAAAAGCTATAGTGAATGCTATAGTGGCAGTGTTTATAAGTTGGAAGGATAGTGCAACATGAAAAAGAAACATTGATATTGCAAATGATTATGTTTAAAATTCAAAAGATATTAATAATAACAGAGAAAATTGAGATGAGAAGGGATGCCACAGAACAAAGAACAACAAAAAGAGATGGAAAAATTGAGAATATTTATCAAAAGAAGAAAGTTGAGGACAGAGTTCCAAAAATTGAAGGAAAAAAAGGAAGAAAGAGATAAGAAAATTGTGGATATTGACAGCATACTGACTGTGGTTGGAAATAATAAGAGTGAACTATGGAAAGGGGAGATAGGTGGACTGGAACTCCACCTCAGACCTCAAAGTACAGAAGAAGAAAAAAGAGAAAATTTGATGGAAGGAGAAAAATCTTGACTAAAACAATGGTAATAAGCAAAGATAAGTTGATGAAAAGAACAGATCGAGGGTTCCAAGTGCTCATAAGATATATAATGAGCAACAAGCTGTGAAAAGAAGTTCACAAAAGACCCATTAAGGAAAAAACCAGAATATCACTTCCACAAATGACATAAGATATAAAACTGCACTACTACTGGAAAGATACAGATTGGTGTAGTGAAAGTTTATAATAAAAATTAAGTCAAACAGAGTATTATATATAGTCATATAAATGAGTAATATTGATAATAATACATATATTGGTACTAGTTTGAGGATGTGAAATTTTATACGCTTTACATGGGGCTGCCCTTGAAAAGTGTTCGAAGACTTCAGCTAGTCCAGAATGCAGCCGCGCGAGCGATTGTGGATGCACCTAGGTACACCCACGTTACACCTATCCTCCGTGAGCTG